TACCAGAAGGTGCCTGCTGCTCTCTTCTCCTCTTCTGCCACTTCCTACTGAGGGAAGGAAACTGTTCTTCATTGCTGTTGATCCCAGCTGCCTCACTTGGCTTTCTCAAGGGAATCAGAGAAAAATGCGAGTGCCACACTCGCGTTGCTATTCACCCATGAGGTTCATCCGTAGGGCCCTGTGGGGAAGGGTGATGGACAGGACACACAGGGCACGTCCTGACACACAAATGGGACAGCTTGGGTAGCACCCAAGGCAGCAGCTGGGCAAAGGAGGGGCCTTTCCACAGCACCAGCACAATGCACTGCATTTTTATGGTATCAGTGGAGGAGACAAGGAACATTTCATCTCCCTTCCACGTCCCCTGATGTATGGCAGGGAGCCAAACCAACTGATTTCAGCCAGGAAGCACAAAGCTCCCGTAGCCTTGTCAGCCGTAGTCCCTCAAACTCCCCTGTTCAAGGTGAAATCCTGCTTTACTAATTCCTCATCTCCTCCTTCAGACTGTCTGTCTGCCAAAACCACCAGATCTTCAGCTTGCAAAGGGAATGAACCTGTCCCCAGACAGGTCCACGCTACATCCTCCCAATAATTCCCAGGATGGGAACTCTCAATCTCCTCTGCAAACCAGTCTGTCCTGTTTCTCCTCCTTCCCATCACCACTAATATGTAGAAGGTCTCACCCCTTGGCTTTTGTGCCTGTTCCTCCATGCAAATTTTGCAGTTGCCTCATTTCCATAGAGGCAGCAACATGAGACTAGATTCTTACTTTTTCTGTGTGTTCATTCCCTAATTCTCCTTCTCATGCACAGTACAGTCCGAAGGTGAAACAGCTCCTTGCCCAGCTTTGGCTGTAATTGCTTTAGGATCAACATCGAAGTAGCTGCTAGTAATTCTATGGTGTTGCCCAAATGTAGGTCAGAGCTTGGTGGCTGACCAGCAGGCAGAGAACATGAGCTGAAACCACATTGCTCTCTCTAGACTGCTGCTCATGTCCAAACTTCCAGAAAGTTTGCTTGAGTTCATTTATGCTTTGCAGTGGCAGCACAAACTGAAATGAAGAGGTGCCCTGGCCCCTTTGAAACTGCCTCAGGATTACAAACATGCACAAATAACACTCTGACTTTTGAATAGCCAGAACTCCAACAACAGGAGAATATTTCACTCCTGCAGTGAGCAATTTGCTTTCTGAAAAACAGCTGCACTGATATTGAGAGTGCAATCCACTGGGAAAGAGGCCCTGCAGCAACTGGCTGATGCTGCCTGGGGTCACCTCCCTTCAGTCAGGCTTCCAGCAGCCTCATGTCCACCTGGGGTGACAAATACAGAGAGACCCAACACAGGTCAACACCACCAGTCTCACATGCACAAACACCCCGCCTTGGCTGGCAGGACAGGGCAAAAAAAACCCCATCAGACAGGCTGGGTCTGAGTAATTCCCTGGCTGCCCTTGCCCAGCTGCTATTCAGAAGGGGACAACCCAGAGCAGCACCATCCAGGAAGGATGTAGAAATACACATCAAGAGTACAGTCTTTGAGTCATTTCCTAAAATCTAGGTGGGGCCACAAAATCACCTCTTCACAGAGATCACTACCTTTCACCCCATCCTTGCTCTGCTGAACTTGGGAACACGTGCTTGGCTGAAGCCCCTTTGAGGAAAGGCATCTTATCTTGAATAGAAAACACTATCATATGGGAAGATTTTCCTTTCCCCAGTAATTTGTTCCAGCAGCTAATCAACTTTATTCTTTAAAAAATTAACGCCTATTTTCTCATTTCAATTGGTCTGGCTCAGCCTGCAGCTGTGGGTTTGGGCTGTGCCTCTTCCCTCTGGCTTACACAGCTCGTGGGGTACCTGCCTTTTCTCCTCGTGGAGCTATTTGTGTATCTACACAATTTTCTTCAGATAAACAGCTACAGTTGCTTAAATTCCAATCTAAGGCATCAGTCTGGGGATTTTTCCATGCTATTTCTCCCTGAGGACTTGCTGCTCCATGAAGTTGCCTGCACTCACCTGCCCAAGGCATGTGTCTCTCTATTTTACATCCTTCTGTGCAGAGCCAACGCATCGTGGTCTCTCCAGGAAACACAACTCGGCACAAACAACTGAGTTCAGAGCAGAATAATGACTGCTGCTGATCACTGCAGATAAAGGCCACTTGTGGTGAGCATCATGCCTCTGCTGTGACCAGCTTTAATTGCAGCTGAGCTAATTCTGAGCGTGGCCGTCCCGGTGTCCTTCCACTCCCTCGATAGCCCCAAATCCCCACCCCTCCAATTCACTGTGTGTCTGCCCTCTTTAAGTCCTGGTTGTCTTCTCATCCAATTTTTGACCTCTTCCTGCTCCCTTTTCCCTTCCCCTTCTGCTGATCTTCTCTTAATAAAACCACTTGCCTCCTAAAAAGTCAGAGAGTGACTGTGTGGCTGTTTCCTCATCACACTCTGGCCCTGCCTCCATCTCCCTCACTGCCAGCTCTCCTGGGCAAGGACCACCCGCCTCCTCCTGTGTCTTCCCAGGAAAAATGCATCATTATGAGAATATTTAATAACACCAGTCCTGTTTACCTGTGCTGGTCAGTCAGTGGGCTGGCAGCTAAGCCAACTATTAATGATTAATTTTACACCATAGGTTTCTTAACAAAAAAAATTATGCATTTTTGGAGCACGCTCTATCCGTGTGTCTGGTTTTAACTCACAGCTTCCTCAGGTAGGAGCTGGCTCTTCGAGGCTGTGTGGTTCTAAACATGTTGATGGTGTACTTGGAGCAACTCACAAACAGATAATTGAAGTTAATTAATACAAATAAACTCTAATTACAAGCAGCAACCAATTAAAACAGCACAGAGGGCATCTCCTGTGCTCGGGGTAGCAGCTGAAGTGGAAGAGGATGCTATTCCAAGGCCTTAGGACTCTCTCCCGCCCTCCCCACACGCTGAATCTCAGGAAGGTTTCCCACAAGGAGGATTCACGAGCAGCCGCTGCTGCCAGGAGAAGCTGCTGCTTTGCCTCGGCCTGATTACGAGAGCAGCAAATTAGGGCAGTTTTTCACCAGTGATGCTGTCAGTGTCTTGAGAGCAATGCAGGTCCTGGGAACACAGGCTGCAGCACGCAGGGATGGTCTTATCCTGGTGCTTGCTAACCCTGGAGCACGGCACATGGGCATCTGTGCACTTCCATGGCCACCTTGGCTCCAGTGGGACGTTCTGCTGGCCCTTGCAAAGCCTGTGGTTGTGCCAGGTGTGCCAATGCCATTTGGGCACTACAGCTCCCAAGCCTGTAAAACATATTTTTTTTTCCTAATTTCAGTTTATGTCACTTAGGGACACACTTACCCAGGAATACCCAGGCAGGGTATTCCTTTTTCCTTCCATCTAAGGATGGCAGAAATGAGGGATCAAAGCACTCAAGGGATCAAAACATGAAAGGCAGAATAAATGAAGCCATGAAGAAATGGGAAGAGAGATCCACTCCTTTATTGTAATTAACCTTTCCAAGAACAGATAATATTCCCAAATTAAAGGACATCGTGGGACACACAAATGCATCCAGGTCATGTGGGAGCGATGCTCTGAACGAGGCATCAAGGCGAACGCAAACACGGCTCCCAGGGCGGGGATGGCACCAGCCGCCGGCAAAACCGGTCTCCAGACACCCGCTCCTCGCCCAGCTCTCATTAGAGCAGAGATTAAAGGGTTTCCACCCCCCGGCACCGCCGCGCTGCTCAGCCCCGGGCTCTTTCGGGAATGCGCTTCCCAAAACGAGGGCTGACTGCGCTCCCGCTCCTCTCCCAGGCTCCAGCAGCCGGGCGGGACCCGCCGCTCCCGGGACCCGTCCCGCCCCTCGCCCCAAGGGTCCTGCCTCCCGCACCCCGTGTCCTCCCGGCAGCCCATGTCCCTCCTTTCCCGGTGTCCCTCCTTTCCCGGTGTCCCCCCGCTCCGTGCCCGGTCCCGGCCGCCCCCCCTCCCTCCGCCGCCCCCCGGTGGTTGCCCCACGCACCCGCAGGAGGCGGCTCTGAGCGGCCGCTCGGCGAATCCCGCGGGCTCCCGGCGCCGAGCCCCCCTTTGCTCTCCCTTTTCTTCCTCCTCCTCCTCCGTCTCCTCCTGCCGCTCCTCCTGCCGCCGCCGCCGCCGGGCTCCGCTCCGCCTCGCCAGCCCCGCGCCGGGTGCCCCGGCCCTGCCGCACCTCCCGGCCTCCGCAGCCCCGGCCCGGCGGGCGGTGAGTCCTGTCCTGGCCCCTCGGGCAGATCGGGGGGGCGCGGGGGGTGTTGCGGGGTCGCCTCTATAGAGGGGAGGGCACGGGAGTCCGGGCGGCCCCTGGATGCGGCGGGACACCCCTGGAGGGGGGAGTGCGGGCTGGGGCATCTCCCGTGTGATGGGCATCGCTCCCGGGGAGAGGGTGGTCGGGCTCGGGGCATCTCCCGGGGTGATGGGCATCGCTCCGCCCGTGACGGGCATCACTCTACGGGCGATGGTGACCGTGCTCGGGGCATCCTCCCTCCGTGGCGGCGGGTCACGCTCAGGGCATCTCCCGCCGGGGGCTGGTGGCCGCGCTCGGCGCATCTCCCGCCGGGAGCTCGGGGCTGCGCTCCGGGCATCATCCCCACGGGCTCCAGGGGTCCTGCCTGGGCACTCTCCTCTCACCCTCTCCTGGGGTGCCGGGGCTGCCCTTGGTGCACCCTCCTGGGGGTTTGGGGTGCCAGGGGCTGAGCTCGGGGCATCCTGCCCCGCCGTGCTGGGGACTGTGCTCGGCGCATCGTCCCAAGGTGCTGGGGGACTTATTCCTTCCCTGCACACCCATCCGCGCGATTCCTGCACCGGGGATCAGCATCAACAGCCCCTTCTCCATATCACGGGGGCTCAGGTGTCCCAGGAGCAGCACCTGCTTTTGCAGGGCTTCCAGAACATGCCTCGTGGCCAGCAAACCGCTGGCTGGCAGAGCTGGCTGGTGGTCAGGGCACAGCCCCTATGAAGGCTCAGGTTTGGGGTCTGTCATTGTCACTCGAGCCGCTCTGGTCGCAGCAACACCCTGGAGCCCCCTCCTTCTCCGTGGCTGTGAAACGCCCACAAACACCCCCTACCTGGCGGCACCACTTAAAAAGCACTCGATGTTGAGAGGAGGCACAGCCTTCCAGTGCTTTTGTACCGTGTGATGAACCACTTTTATAACGCCTGTGCTCCAGGGACCACCTACCCTTAGCCGTACCTGGAAAATGCAGCCTCTCTCCCGGCTAACACTGGGGTTGTCTCACAGAGACCATTTAGTCTGTCTAGACAAATATGATGAAGAGCAAAGTGCCTGGAGCTGTGAGTGATTAGAGCTCGGGTATCTCTGCACTGCTGCATTTGTTGTACAGCTCTGATAGATGCTGCTCGGTGCTTTTGGGTTGGCAAGTGCACAGGAAACAGCCATGGACTGGGGGGGGTTTGTTCTGTGTCAGAGCAAGGGAAGGAGAATGCAGCCAGCCCTTCATCACACATGTGCATGGGAGAAGCATCACAGGCAGTTTAACCAGACTAAAATGAGCAGAGAAGGCACTGAAAATGATGAATAAATGGGTGGTGAGGGGGAAAGCCATATACTGCCAGCTTGCTTTCTTGAGGGTAGCACAGAGAAGTTCATGAATGCTTGTGTGACACTTAGAGAGCCTCAAATAGCAGGGACTGAAAAAAAAGAGTAGCACTATGTACGAGCACAGAATAAATAAAATCCTTAGAAGAGAAGACTGGAACTGAGGATAATGTATGTCCTCAATACATATTAAAATGAAGAACAGCGTATTGAGAGAGCAGGCTCTCACATAAAACAAAATCAAGGGCAAAGTGGATGTGTATGTGTTCTTAAGTACTTAAGAACACTTAAATAAGAATATTTAAATGAGGATGGATGGAAGCATCTGTCTCCATCTTAGGTATTTAATGAGCTTTACAAATCTAGTCTTTCATCTTGCAAACCTTTTTTGCATACTGGGGAGTTGTCCATCTGACTTGTCCAGCAGTCCAAGTTAATTTATAAGGCAGATTCATGGGAGGACAAACTTTCAGGACTGAGCCTTGTGGCAATAACGTATCGATCACAGTTCCAGTAGGACAGGTAGATTCTCCTCCTAGTGAATGCATGTGTGAATCCCTGAAGGTTTCCACAGCATCAGGAATGACTCTGTTTGAGAGAGACCACACATACCATCTGTTTCCAAGTCAAAAACATATTCTAGAGACATTACAAGTAAATATTATTGGGAGCTGGCAGTAGGTGAGGCCAGAAGGCTTTATCTGACTTTATGGTCTGGAACACACACAGATGTGACTCGGTGTTTTGTGGCTGTTTAATGTGAACAGAGGATGCTACAGTTCTATGTGGGTACAAGTACAGGGTTGATCAGGTCCAGAGCGTATTTTCTCCTTGATCAGAGGGGATTGATTCTGAGAAGTGCTGAGCATCTCGAAATTCCCTCTATTTCAGGTTTGAACACGACCAAACAGATTTGGTCTGACCCCAGCAGCTGAGTGAGCTCAGCAGGCAAAGCCTGGCTCGGTGTGAGGGGCTGTGTTGAGCTCCTCGAGGAAGGAGCTGGACCAGTCAGAATTTTACTTGGACTAGAGCTTCTCAGTCAAGAAAAATCTCTTTCTGTATGTGTTAACAAATACATTGAGAAAATTGCTTTCAGGCTGTCATCAGTGTGATACTGGGAAGTACAGGCAAGGAGGGGCTGATCCTCGAGCAGCAGTTACAGACACCAACTGCAAATCTAAGGGAAAGAGCTATTAAGCAACTAGGGCATGTGTTGATAATTAGTTATCGCTTGTTATGTTTGCTCTGGGCTTTTCATTTCTGTTGACTGGCAATGAATTTTCTGCACTATCACTGCTTGTTTACAGTACAGCTCCTAACGAAGGCAATTAATCAGTTTTAAGAGACTCCACTAATGTCCCTCTGACACCCAAAGAGCCCAGTTAAGTCAGTCTGCCTCCAAATACTTCAAAAGAGCCGAGATGGAACTGAGGGAATCTCCTTCTGTGCATCTGCAGCCTGGGAGAGTCAGACTTAGAAATTACTTACAGGCTGACTTACAAAACAAACAACTTTAGAATGACCAGCTTAAAAACAAACAAAACAAACCAATAGAAAAAAATATACAAATACAATCTCTACAATGTTAGGGCCAAATTCATACAATACCAAACAAATCCATTAGGCACTGAGTGCCCTTTCTGGACCTGTACAACACAGAATTTCTGCACACAAGACCCCTTCTGTCTTGTCAGAATATCCCAAATACTTGCACTGTATGTATTGCCTCGGCCTTTGAGAATTTCCCTGTCACTGTCAGCCCCAGGCATATCTATCCAAGAAAGCAATGTCAATATATTAGAGAATAAATGACATATCTGGGAATTACAAAAAGAATAATTCATAGATAATTTTCAATTACAGAGAATAATTTATATGTGTCTGATTTGCAAAGAGAATAATTTCTGAGTAACCTGAATTGCACATGAAGCACATTAACAGGTTACTGTGGGAAAGGGAGCGTACTGACTGCTCAGCTGTCACGTGCTGAGCCTGGATTTTGGGGCATTTTGTGTGAGAACACTCACCCTGGAAAAAAATATGTGTCAAATTCCATAGTAAACAGATTGGTGCAATATGCCCAATCTGAGCTGAAACCTCTTGTATGGTACTGAAAGCCAGACATGCAGAGCATGCTGTCCTTGGAGCTCCTGCCTCATATCCCACCCCACAAGCAGAAAGGCCACAACTGGGATCCTACAACATAATCATGGGAAAAGGCTGTTCCCAGCAAACAGCCAAGTGCCCAAACCTTTGAGCTCTGTGTGTCTCCACTGCACTGCATGGATGTGATGATGAACAACCTGAAACAGGGAAAAAAAAGAAGAGAGTCTCCATAAACTGGATAAGGATTCCCAGCTCAGGCTGGCTCCTTCCCTGCCCTCTTGGGAGCCAGTGGGGGCCAGAACACAAACATGTTTCACGCTGCACAGAAGGATGTTGCTTGTTGAGGTTGGAAAAGACCTCCAAGATCATCAGTCCAACCTTGATGGACTTCACATGATCCAACATGGGTGCTCCTTGTTTAGGAAAAATCACAGTGTTAGTAAATGGCTGCAGAATGACAAAGTGCAGATTGGGAATAGGATGTTTTCCTAATGGTAAAAGTAGACAATGGCATGGGAGTGGAGGTGGTGAGTGTCTCCACTTGCAGCAGGTCTTTACATTATTATCTTGTTTAAAGCATTTTCTCAAGTGCAACTCCAAATTATTGGCCTTTTAAATAAAAAGAGTTACTTTCTCCTTCTCAGGACTTGTTAGTCAGGTCCTACAGTTTGTCATTGAACAAGAAGCCAAATTAGCTGCTTTTTACTTTAAAGGCATGATGTCTCCTTCCTAAACACCTGAAGGGTAGAAGGATGCACTGGTGCTTCCATTTCTTCAGCCCCACCTTAGCATCTAAAAAACTGAGGAGAAAGGGGGAAATATCCAAGTTAAAGTGCCATTCCCTCCTGAAGCACTGCATCAGGGAGTTAAACCAGGCACTCTTGACACAAGAGCTAAAAATTACAAAGCCCTGTTGAACTATTCAGTTAATGAAACACCATATCCATATATTAGATCAAGTACAAATAACGTCTACTACAGTTATTGTTGTAAAATGGCTTCTTTTTTCAATTGCTGAAGTTGCCCATAAACATCTTCTGAAGCATTCATTTTCTCCAGTGAAGTATCTTAGAAAAGCTTGCTAAAGAGAAGTAATTGTGTTGGATTTGGAGAGTGTAGTGGGTTGTTGCTATTCGTTGAGAAGCAAACCCAGACACTCCAGGAGAAGGAGGCACATGTCGCTCCAGACTGAATTCCTGCAAGTGAATTCCTGTGCTTGAACTTTCGAGTCACTAAAGCGTCACCATGGGCATCCTTGGGCATGGTGAACGTCACAAAACACCCATGGGCATAGCTGGGAATGTCTGAGCTGGGTGAATATCCCCTTTTAGGGAAACAATGTATATCCCATAGCTTTGGGCTCACTCTGTATTCCACGAGAGAGCCTGGGGGGAACACATGCTACAAGACTGTGCACTCATTGTATTTGCTGTCACATACATCCACTCTTCACTGCTTCCCATTTAGCAGAGAAAACCCCATTCATTTTCTAACCAGCTCCTCCTCCCCAGACCCACACTCCAGTTGTCGCCCAAAACACCAATGAAAGAGGCTCCAGAAACCCCCTTTGATGAGACCACTCTCGACCTGGACCAAGTCTTTCCCTCATTTCCCTGGGAGCACCAGGCAGGCAGTAGCTCACAGGATCACATCCTCAGGGAGCTGAATATTGCAACAGTTTCCCAGTGAAAGTTCTGCATATGACCAGGAAAATGATGCTTGTATTTAAAGTCTGTGCAGAACAAGTGAAATCTTGTCCCTTAGGAAAATCTTCACCTTGCCCAAGGCAAAACTCCTGATGACCTGGTGGGGTCAGACTCTCACTTCTGTCTCCCAAATCTGGAAGCAAGTCAGAAGAGCAGAGATTTGGGTGACAAAACACAGAACGACCTCACACAAAATCTTGCTGCTGCCTGTAAAAGCCAGCAGGAGCAATTTGTACATTTTTCTGGGCAGTAAAAAGAGGCATCTGAGAAAGCATCTCAGGTTTGATTTCTAAACTTTCCCTGGATTAGGGCCCTTGTACCACTTCAGATCCCCCTGTGCCATCTGCTGTCAGCCTTTAATGTGAGCGAAATACAAAGCTTGCAAAAATGAAAGAAAACTGCTTTCCTGCTCCCTCTCCGGGCTACACACCCTTAGAGACAAAAAGATCACACAAAACGAGTCCTTTTAAGGACTGCTAATACATACACTTCTCTTCCCAAGGGTTAGATGTGAAGGAATTCAGTGTTAATTTTAATTGGCTGCCACCTTCCTCTTACAGTGCAAACTACCTCTGCATAACTGAGGAAAGACTTCGGCTCATGTCGGTACTATTTTTTTAAATGTTGAATTTTCTTAATTGTACTGCGGTCCTCAAGGGCCACTGAATGCCACTTACCTGGCAGAGCTAAGCTGCAGACCTACTTAAATTATAGATTAACCAGTTCCTCCTTGAAATATTTAATCCCTTTTTTTTCAGTGATTGAATGCTGGTGTTTTAGCAGTGATGGTCAGCAGTTGATGCATTTGGTATCCACCCAGAAAGCTTGTCTGGCTCCTTTTAAGTTACTATTAAGTTGCCCAGAAGAAGATAACACTTATTCCTAGAAACCCTGTGCTTTTGTACACATACACCTGTGTGTTTTTCATTCTGCTGAGTACAGGTGGAGCACTTACCTGTGGTAGGCAACTTTGCCTGAAGTACCGCTCCAAAATACTCCAGTTCTACTTGGAATGACCTCCTTACCAAAAAAATTACTGCCTTTGGAAAAATCCAGACGTAGGTTAAGTCAAAGAGGTTGTGTTGCCTCTTTTTCTTCCCTTTCCCCAAGCTGCCAACTGGAATTTCCATAAGTGCATAAAATGCAGTGGAAAATAGGTGCTTGACTCGCAGCTTTGGAGAACACCAGCCTTAGAAAGGACCCTGGAGAGGATATTTCTGAGATGCTCTGAATTAATTTCTTTGTGCTGCAGGCTTTCATTTGCTCTTTATTTGCTGCTTTACATCATCCCCAGCCCTGCTGATGCTAACATGGTGTGACATGAAGCTATTCATGAATGACATGATGGCAGTGGGCCCGTATGTGTCTTGCTGGAGAGGCAGCACCAGCACACAGGAATCTCACACACCAAGTCCCACCTGCGGGTCAGGCTGGGCAAACCTTCCCAAATCCTGCAGCCTCACAACAGCACTGTGAGCCAGAAGGTGCCCGAGGTTAATATCTAAGATTTAAAGCTGTTAGAGGAAATCATCAGCAGTGAACAGCTGCTTTCACTGGTGTCAGGTAAGTCAGAACTGCAGGCTTCTGATGGACAGATAAAGGACAATTGACCTCTTCATTCCTGACGTGGACCTATTCCAAGGGATGTGGTTTAGCCCAAGGAAAAAGGAGCACCACCTTCCCACATCCTGAGAGGTCCAGCGCGACCAGTTGCACAACACCCGGAGGTATTTCCCATCCTGTTGGGGCTTCAGGATAGAGCACCAAAAAAACCCCAAATCCCCATCAACCAACCCCAAACACCGATCAAACCATCTGATTTACTCCAGATATCCGGCAGCAACCTGGGGCTGTGCATTCTTGAGCACCATCTACTGGCACACGGTCCATGAGCTGGTGTCTGCACACGCACGTAGAGAACCCCGTGAGAGCTGCTCAAGGCGTGGGGCTCCAGGCCAGCACAACGCTGATAAGCTCCCAGTCAAACCTGGCAGCTGGGGGATTGGGAGAATTGCTGGGAGAGCAGAGGAGGTGTGCAGGTCCCTCAGGAGGCCACGGCTGATGGCAGTGTCCCCTCCCTCAGGAAGTGCCACGGTCCCTCCGCGATGCTGCAGTGCAAACACGCCCAGGAGTTCAGCTTCGGGCCCCGCGCTCTGAAGGACGCGCTGATCTCCACCAACCCCGCCCTGCAGGAGCTCTATGCCAAGGCTTTCTCCAGGGCCGAGAAGCTGTTCCTCTCCGAGGCCTACAACCCCCAGAGGACGCTGTTCTGCACCCTGCTCATCCGCACGGCCTTCGACTGGATCCTCAGCCACCCCGATGCTCCCGAGGACTTCGAGACGTTCTACCACGCCATGCTGAGGAGGAAGCAGAACTTCTACCGAAAGCACATCTACCTGCAGCCTATAGGTAACGTGGGCATCTGCACTGAGCCACCAGGAGGGAGGTGGGTGGTGGTGAGTGCTGCTAACACCCTCTTCTAAGGACTGACCTGCAAAATGCAATCGCCCTAGTGAAGATAAGTGTAGTAGCAAAGGCTCTGACATGCCCCCAGTCCAGGGTCACGAGCCATGATGACAACCATGGGTAGACCTGCCATATAAATGGTATATGTGCCCCTGGGTGAGACTTGCTATGAATTTATGCATACACATATATACATATACATATCTAACTGTGAAACAATGCTGGAAAATACAGCATTTCCGGAGATCCATCCCTGATGGTTCATTAAACACAGCCACCCATTCCCATATTAATCTTTCTGCATAACTTAAACAAGATATCTTCCTAGATATCTGCTCTGCTAATGAGAGCGTACTAATGCCTCAAGTCACCTCTCAGGAAGAGCTCCCTCTTCTCCTCTATATCCATAACCATCTAGAGGTGTCTGCCACATCCCGGAATGAGCAATTAACTCCAGAATGACCCAGCCTGCCTCTTCCCCAGTGGCTGTGGCCAGTCCCACAGAATCCCTTCAGACCCTGTGGTTCACCCTGCCTTTCAGGGGCTGATAACAGAGCTTCTCTTCTCAGACTTAATCGAAGGGCCTGCCGGGCTCTCGCTGCTGGATTCCCTCCAGAGCTGTGTCGAGTCTTTCTTCCTGGGTCTCCGTGTGAAGTGCCTTCCCTCCATCCCTGTCTCTTCCATCCACTGCTGCTTCCGCCACAGCCGGGACTCCGACAGGGTGCAGCTCCATGCAGGTGAGGATCTGGCACCAGGGAGCCCATAAAGGCACTAGCTTGGCACATGGGCACGAACCCTCCTTTAGGAAATGCCTGAAATAGCCCTTCATTGCCAGAGCAGGGAGGGGATGAGGAAGGGAGTGAAAAGGGAGAAATCCTGTTCCCGTGGAAAGCCCAGAGCTTTGAGGCTGGAAATAATAATGAAAAACAAAGTGACTTTCATCATATTTTCCTCTGCTGTTTGTATTTTTTGGTGCTATTATGTTTAGGTCCAGCTCTGCAGAGCAATCAGATCAGCTCCAAGGGAAGGCACTGTTGGTTTGGTGTAGTCTGAGTTCTCCCATCTCTTGCCCCGAGCCAAAGTAAATGATTGGCCTGGGTGGTGTAGGTGGGGAACTCACTGGCCTTTCATGTTAGGAAACTTGGGTTCAAGTGTCACAGCTCCCTGGGGAAACAGGTTTTCCACCTGCCAAACTCTTGCTGCACAAACATCCCCCTGGAATGAGCTGTTTGCAGGTACCACGGGCAGCACATGCTCAGCACAGCCCAGCACTGCAGCCCTGTGGCTGTTCCAGCTCCATTCTGAAATGCCTGAAGGGAAATTCTGCTCCCAGGTGCTTATTTCCATGAGTTAGTACCGAATTCACCCACATCCCTGCCCTTAGCTCTGCTTTGTGCTCAGCACCACTTCCAAAGTCAGGTCTGCTCTGATTTCAGGGGATGAGCTCCACAGCTGTGGTTCTCCATCTGAGATAACAAATGGAGCAGCTCTGTCTGCCTGTGGCTTGGATTACATCCTCCTCCCCACGAGCAGCAGAAATTCCGGCTCTTAGGTGCCTTCCAGGGATGCTTCATTTTAATGAATGTCTCTCCTGTATTTTTCCAGATGGGATCCTGAATTTCCTGAAGAACAACAAGCCAATGGATGCCCTGTGTGTCCTTGGACTTACTCTGCTGGATCTTTATCCATGTGAGACCTGGAGCTTCACGTTCAGCAAATTCCTGCCAGGACAAGGTGGGATTGGTGTCCCATGTTGATCTCGCACTGCATATGAATAAGGCAGCACTGCACCAAAAAGCCTTCCCTGGGAGGCTGGAATAGCCAAACCTTATCCTTAACATGTTATTCAATCCCTGATAAGAAGAACGAGGTTTTCCCAATTTAAAACTAAGGGATTTGGGGCTCCTGATCCAGACAAAGGTAACCAAGGTGCTACAAACCTTTTGGACCTTCTGGGAAGGGGGTCTCTTCACACCCTGTGTGCTCAACTGGGCTGTGCTACAACAGCTGTATTTTTATGCTGCCTAAGGTGAGACAGAGTCGTAAGAGAGCAGATCCCTAACTTGTACTCACCTCTCTTCACAGAAGTGGGAGTCTGCAGCTTTGCCAGGTTTTCTGGGGATTTTCCCCAGGCTGGTTGTAGCAGCTTGAACCCACCCACGCAGAAGGAAGAGTTGTGTGAAGTCCTCAAGGAGAGCAGAGACCGGACGCTGCAGTTCAGTGCCCAGGAGATGGTCCAGTGCTGTAAGGTAGGACCAGCCAGCTCCTGCACCCCACGTTTCTTCCTGTGTAGGGTTAAATATTTCAGGCCTGGGCATAATCTGTCTCAGCCCAGTGAAGCAGGAATGAGACTCTGCTCCCAGAAGGCACAGGCAATCACAGCTAAGGCCACACACTTAATTCAGACATAAAAAGCTTGCATTTTACTGCACTGTGTAGACAACAATACCATCAGTTATAGTGAGGCTACAGGACTCGCCTTATCACAGAATCACAGAATGGTTTGGGTTAGAAGGGACATTAAAGACCATCTAGTTCCAACCCCCTGCCATGGGCAAGGATACCTTCCACTACACCAGGTTATGTCATGGAGCAGCACTGAGATAAAACCCTGCCCAGCTCCCAGGCTCATGCTTGGGTAATCCTGAGTACTTTGCTTGCCAGGCAGTGCAGGGCCAGTAGGATCTGTGAGCTGATTCAGAATTTGGAGTTAATCAGAATATCTGGTGGAGTTTTGTGTAACTAATGGATGGCTGGGAAGGGGTAAGTCTTCCTCAGACACTGGCATCCATAAGGGGAGAGGTCCATGTGCCAGACCTGTTACATGGATGGATGAGAAAGGTTTGCACATATAAATATATGCAGATGCCATTAAACCTCCTTCATCTCCAACACATCCTCTTCAGGAGTGCTGTCCTCCCTCATCCCAGCATCTCCCCTGGGCCAGCTCTGTCTGTGGTGTTCCTCCCAAAGCTGGCCCACGTGGAGCAGCCACACCAGCACCTTCGATGCCATTTCTCTTTGCTCCCCTGGCATTTGCTCAGGATTTTCAAGTCTGAGGTCTTTTCCTGTAGTAATTTCCAATGAGATTAGGTGGCAAAGGGAGGAAGAAGGGAATCCTCCATCCTCAGCCTTTCCACGGTTGCCAATTCCCAAGGCAGTAATGCTTGGCCAGCTGACTCCAGCTTAGTTTTTTTTGCTTTGGCACAAATGTTAATAGCATCTGTTTTGGAAGGGCCCAGATCTGTTATTGCCAATAAAGCTTCTCAGATTTCTCACACGGACTGTGCTGCTCTTTTCAGACCCCAGTGGGACTAGTTTTCCTCCTTAAAAACCCCAAAACAACAGAAAACCTCCAAGAACCACAGTGTCCTTGGTGGAGAGCGACAGCAGCACTGCCCCACAGCTCCCAACATGCTGCCCACAGGGGCTTCTCACAGCTGCTTCTTCCACACCCACCCTTCCTTCTCCACAACACAAACATGGATGCTGGGGGAGCTGGGAGAAGGGAGCCAGGTTCTCCATTCACCTCAAGAAAGCCTGTGCTGGAGGATTGCCAGAGCTGAGCAACAAGCTGGTTTAGACCATCAGGGCGTGGGGAAGTGGAACAGCAGAGGAGGAAGAGGAGGGGGCAGTGGAAGCAGCAATGACAACGCACTGCTGTGATTTTTGCTTTCCTGAAAGGTGACCTGCCATGAGATCTGCCACCTGATGGGGCTGGGGACGTGCCGCTGGCTGCAGTGCATCATGCAGGGAGCGCTGAGCCTGGACGAGGCCCTGCTGCGGCCCCTGGAGCCGTGTCCCATCTGCCTGCGGAAGCTGCAGCACGTCGTGGGCTTCAAACTCATCGAGCGCTACAGGGTGAGACCCCCCAGCCCCTCCTGGAGTGAAGGGCAGGGTGGGGAGCAGGGCAGCTATCCCCAAACCCCACAGGGTACACGTGCTGCAGCTGCGGGGGGAAGGCAGGCGCTCCCAGGGTGAGGTGCTGAGGGAGCAGCTCACACCTGAACACGGGAGTGTTGGTCACAAGAAAGCACTTTGCACAAGCTCCAGGGCTTTTAGGTCTTCCCACGGGGCACTGCCACAGTCCAACCATGTTTTCTTACTCCCAGAAATGAGGTGGGGAGGGCAGGCAGATTCCAAGCCGGAGCGGCAGCGAGCACCGATTCCCACAGCAACACCCTTTCCTGTGCCACCCTGGATTTCTGCCTCTCTGGGGCTGCTGGGAACAGGGAGGAAATATTAAATGTGTGCTGTGCTGCAGTTCCTCTGTTTAAAGACATGAGAAAGGATCCCAGATTATTACCCCCTAATAAGTGGAGGGTCATAGACTCATCTTTTGTCCCTTCTCTCCCACCCATACAACTGCTAACACCACATTTAGACAAATTAGACACCCTTAGCTCTTGCAAAGGGTTTTCCACCTCTGCTCTGTAAAAAGCAGGATTTAAAAAGCAGGATTCAGTAGCCAAATGGCTGGTGTAATAGAAATAATGTCACCATTCTCACTCAGCACCCATCTCCTCCCTGGCTGTAATTCCTGTCTGACACACATCATGTTCAGAGACAGGATTTTCCACGGCTGCCTATTTTAAAGTCTGTGGGTTGTATTTGTAACAAGATAGGAG